CTTTTCATGCCTACTCGGAGAGAACCCCACGTGGGGTTCTCACAGTTGGAGTGATCCCCTCGTAGGGTTCTCCTTCCTCATCAGCAGGTGGGCAGTCTTATCCAGCCCACCGTGGGCAGGAGAACATTTTCGTGAGAAGCAATTCATTATGACCCTTTTGCACATCAGTCATAATTGGTGGATGCAAATTATGCTTTGAAAAACCCAACGGCTCAATAGATGACACCTTTCATTTTCTCTCTTAATCCAACCCTTCTCAACGCTACTCAACGAGCGCTAACCATTGGTGCTTGGTTGATGAAACGATGGACTTTCTAACACTATTTATTAATGGTAGCTTGTGGGACTGACTGCTGCAACTACTTGTTTCATTATCTCGTCTACTAGCTCTTAGAGCCTTTTCCGGTGGCATCATCATCTACCAGTGTGATTAAGACCAAAAAGCATATTTTATGAGACTGTTCCTAAATATTTATAAAGAAAAATGTTCATTATGTTATCATGTTTTAAAGTCAATAATCTATTATTGTTTTCCCTTTGGCTTTATCTAATATTTAAGATTTGTGGGCTACTCATTATTTGTTTTTACTGAAAAAAAAAATAATAATAATGGAAAGAAAAATGTTTTAAATATATTGTTGTTGTTGACAGATTGAAACCATAGAATTAAGAAATGTATTTATGCTGAAATCATTTTGCAGGATTGAGAAGACACGAATGCTTTATAATTTCCTTCTCTCATTATTGCATAATTCTAACTGAATTAATTAATTGAAAAGAAGTGAATTGAATTAGACATGTCTAACCTCTTACGTTTAGATAGAGTTCAATCTTTTTGGATAGTGAAAATTACACAAAACCAGAATTTTAAAGTTTCAATTTTAAATTTCAAATATAAACTATATTTATACAAAAATCAGATATTAATTTATCTATTTTATCTATCTTTTGTCTCTAAATCATAATTACCCAAACCTAAAACCCTAATTGTATCCTTCTTCTTCCCCTCCTCTCTCTCTCTCTCTCTCTCTCTCTCTCTCTTCCTCGCATGCTCTCTTCCCCGTCTCTCTCTCTCTCCCATCTCCCTAGCACAGTTGCTGTTGAAGACACTGCAAAGCTCGTCACTGTTGCGACCGCCGTTGTTGTGAACAGCAGCATCGCGAACTCTTCCCCTCGTCTCTCTCTCATGTCTTCCCCCCCCCCCGCTCCCCTCCCCTCCCACACAGCAGCGAAGACACAGCGGAGCTCGTCGCTTATCATCGTGCAGCGGCGGCTGCTTTCTTCTTCTTCTTCTTCTTCTTCTTCTTTTTTTAAATTATTTTGATACGGTGGTTGGGTGCTGTGTGTGATGGTTGGGTATTATACTATGTCTGATGGTGGATCTATCGCGGTGGTTGGGTGCGGTGTGGTTGTACATGGTGTTGTGTGCGGTGGTTGGTTTGAATATGGTGGTTGGGTGCGGTGCTATGTCCGATGGTTGAGGTTGGGTGCGGGGGTGTGTAGTAGGTGTTGTGTGTGGTATGGTGTTAGTGTGTGGTGTTGTTTTGGCGGTGGTGTTGCTGGTGCGGTGTGGTGTGGTGATGGTGGTGGTGGCAGCGATGGCGATGGCGATGGCAGGGGTGGTTATTATGATTTTTGTTGGGAGTATATTAGATCTAGTGGTAGTGGCTTTGTTGGTGGTGGTGTCGTTGTGTTGATGTGGTGGTGGCGGAGGTGTGATAGTGTCTGTGTAGGGATGCCACGGGACAAGTTGGTCATTCTCACCCCCGTCCCGTCGAGTTTTTTTGTTACCCTACCCCATCCTCATGCCCGGTTAAAGCAGGACGGGGCAGGGTCGAGGCGGGATCGAGGTGGGGTGGGGTGGGGCGGGGCGGAGGTGTGATAGTATTTGTGTAGGGATGTCACGAGACGGGTTGGCCATTCCCACCCCCGTCCCGTCAGCTTTTTTGTTACCCTACCCATCCCATACCTGGTTAAAGCAGGAAGGGACGGGATCGGGGTAGGGCGACGCGGGGCAAGTCTTCTGCCCCATTTATTTTTTCTTTTTATTTTTTATTTATTTTATTTTTTAATTTTAACTTTATTTTTTACTTTTAACTTTTTTATGTCTTTAATTGGTAAATATTATTACTTTTTTATCAATTTATTAAAAACAACTTATGTTCTCTTAACAAATGATGATAAATTTATTATTTTTGTTTGATCAANATTTATTAAAAACAACTTATGTTCTCTTAAAAAATGATGATAAATCTATTATTTTTGTTTGATAAAAAAACTTAAATTTGAAATTAACTTTAAATGGGGTGGGTAGCTGGGCGGGAACTATGTTTCATGTACCCGTCTCATACCCGCTTCGGAGCAATAACCCTCGTCCCGTCCTTGCCCCGTTAACCAGGTTGGGTGGGTAATCCTCGCCACATTTGGGGCTGGACCCTACGGGTATCGAGTTAAACATGTTTTTTTGTCATCCCTATGTCTGTGATCAATTATTTGGTTGATTTGTGACCAAGTATTGGTGGTAGATTGGGATCGAGTGTGAGGTGTTTTGGTGTATGTGACCAATTATTTGGTTCATTGTGACTAACTATTAAACGTGACATTAAAACTCAATAATTTGTAACTTAGAAATTTGTTAATATGTGACCGACAATTCGATAATTTGTGACTGTGTAATAAGTTGTGACTTATAATACTTGTGATTTGTGATCGATCAACAAATTGTGACCTATAAATTTTTTGAATTGTGACATATAAAATTTGTGATTTGTGTCAGTGAATAATATGTGACTTATTAATTTAATAGATTTGTAACCGATGAATAAATTGTGGTGTATAAATTTTTGATTTGTGATCGATGAACGAATTGGGACCTATAAAATTTTTGAATTGTGATCGTAAAATAATTTGTGACATATAAAAATTGTGATTTGTGACTAGTTATATGGAATTTGTGACCAAATTATATGGAATTTTAACCTTAATATATTTAATTAATAAAATATATGTTTAATTAACTAATTTATAAATAAAATTTTAAAAAGTCTAAGATTTAAAATTTTAAACTTCATCTCTTAAATTTGAAATTGGTGAA